CCCCAAAACCCCAAAACCCCAAAACCCCATGATAGTAAAAGTAGATGTGCATTGAGTGGTTGAGAGATAGACCTGCTTTTATTTTAGTGATTAAATATATAGGGAGTTTCAAACCAATTAGTATCATATAATTATTGCAGAGCGAGCATAATCTGTTTGTTGACCTGAAATTTTTGAGGGCTAATCTTCTCAAACTAAATTAATGAATTGTCAGACTCGCTTTGAAATTGAAAGGATTAACTAAAGCTTATCTGTGCTGAGTACTATTGTGAAATTAAGCTACTATCATTAACGGCGGCATATTCATTAATGGTTAATAAGTTAGTAATAATAGAGAAATTGCCAAATTAGAACGGATTTGTACTTTTCCTTACTTTCAAGATTCAGCATCTCATATCTTCTCTATCTCATATGGCTACATCTAACGACTTTAGTAAATGAATAGTTATGAAATGACTGAAGAAACTTGCTAAATGTTAATTATACCAAGTATTAAGCAAGGCCCATGTTAAAGATAATTTAGACATTAAATGATACATTTAGGAAGATGTTCTAAAATCATATCCAGAGCATTATTTCATAATCAAACCTTATTAATTGCGGATAATAGTTAAGTACGGTGAAGTTTTATGGAAATTAATGAATATGAGGTCCGAAAGATGGTACTCAGAGTCCAGCGACTTTCTTGATGAAGGTTTTCATCTCGTCCTTTGAGATGGTGCCGTTGCCGTCCTTGTCGAATTCCTTGAAGCAGGCTTCGAAGTCAGCCTCGGAGAATTCACCGTTCTCTCCCATTTCGGTCAAGGTGTTCTTGACGAAGGCCTTGGTCTCAGCCTTGTCGAGGAAGCCACTGTTGTCCTTGTCGTAGGTCTTCCAGATGTCATCAATGCATTTTTCAATGATGGAGTCGATATCTGACATTTCTTCTTGATTGTATATAATTAATTATAAGCTAATAAAGATTCACACTCATAAACACTTAATCTCATTTATAAATTTGGAGTATGGGGTTTTGGGGTTTTGGGGTTTTGGGG